AAGGGATTGGGAGGAAGGGAGGGAAGGGAGGATGAAGAGGGGAGGATTGGGGGTGACGAGGGGGGAGGGGGAGGGAAGGGAATGAAGAGGACCAAGGAAGGGAGGAAAGATGTGGGGAAAGAAAAGGGTGAAAGATAGATAGAAAGACAGAGAGAAGGATAGAATGGTAGTATTAGTATATATAGATAAATATAAATAGATTTTTAGGTGTCTATGAAACAGTTGCATTGTTTCAGTTTATGCAATGTGTATCTATGTACAGATGGATAGATAGGTAAGTAAGTAGATAGCGACTAGAAACATTCACGATAATAAAAAAAAAAATCTATCCTCTATCTCTGTTTACGTTTACAAAATACACATAAATACAAACAACACACACAACACAAACACACACACACACACACACACACACACACACACACACACACACACACACACACACAACACACACACACACACAAACACAAAACAAAAAAACACAAACCACACACACACACCCAAACAAAACACCAAACAAACAAACACACCCACAACAAACAAAACAAACCCAAACCCAAACAAAACAAAAACAAACAAACCCAAACAAACCCAGCACACCCACGACCTCACGCCAGCTTACCGGAAGTACTCGTTATAAGCGGTGTCATTCTTGTCCAAATAAAGAATGTAGTGAGCGAGGTCCTGGGCGCTCCTGAAGGCGAGGGCGTCGATGAAAGAGTGAGGAGGAGCGATGGCCGAGTAATTGGCCAATCCGTAGACGATTGGAACGATGTCGAGTCTGCCATTGGGGGGGAAGAGGAAGGGGTTGGTGTGGTGGTGGGAGGGGAGGGAGGGGAGGGGAAGGGGGGGGGAGGGGCGGTGGTGGGTTGCGGTGGGAGGGAGGGGAGGGAGGGGGGAAAGAGGGAGGGGTGGGGTGGTGGTGGTGGTGGGAGGGGAGGGAGGGGGAGGGGAAGGGAGGGGAAGGGGGGGAGGTGGTGGTGGTGGTGGTGGGAGGGGAGGGGAGGAGGGTGGTGAGGTGGTGGTGGTGTGGTGGGGTGGTGGGGTGGTGGTGGTGGTGAGTAGTAGTAGTAGGGTGGGGTGGGAGGGGAGGGGGAGGTGGGGGGTGATTTATTTGTGGTGTGGTGGTGTTTTTGTTGTTTTTTTCTCATTTTGTTTTATTCTCTCTCTCTCTCTCTCTCTCTCTCTCTCTCTCTCTCTCTCTCTCTCTCTCTCTCTCTCTCTCTCTCTCTTCTCTCTCTTCTCTATCTATCTATCTATCTCTCCCTTTTCTCTTTCCTTCTCTCTCTCTCTCTCTCTCTCTCTCTCTCCTCTCTCTCTCTCTCTCTCTCTCTCTCTCTCTCCTCTCTCTCTCTCTCTCTCTCTCTCTCTCTCTCTCCTCTCTCTTCCTCTCTCTCCTCTCTCTTCTCTCTCTTCCTCTCTCTTCCTCTTCCTCTCTCTCTCTCTACTTCTCATTTCCTCTCACTCTTTCATTCTCTCTCCTCATCTCTCTCTCTCTCTCTCTCTCTCTCTCTTCTCTCTCTTCTCTCTCTCTCTCTCTCTCTCTCTCTCTCTCTCTCTCTCTCTCTCTCTCTCTCTCTCTTTCTTCTTCCTCTCTCTCTCTCTCTCTCTCTCTCTCTCTCTCTCTCTCTCTCTCTCTCTCTCTCTCTCTCTCTCTCTCTCTCTCTCTCTCTCCTCTCTCTCTCTCTCTCTCACCCCCACCCCTATACACACGCTCACTCATCTCTCTCTCCTCTCTCTTTCTCCCCCAACAACAAAAGAACAACACAATAAACCAGAACAAACCAACAAAAAAAACAAACATGAAAAAAAACACACAAAAAAAAAAAAAAAAAAAAATCCCAACATTACAAAAAAAAACGACAAAAAAAATTCCTCTAAATTTACTTCAGTATCTTGAAGAATTTCTCGGTGGCGTAATCGAGGCAAAGAGAATTCTCGAACGACAGGTAGAATTTGTATCTTTTCTCAAGCATCTGCATACACAGGGCGTTCTGTCTGCATTTCAAGGGACCGCATTTCCCGTACACGTCCACCTGTATCCAGTCTTGTAGTTTTTTGGCGACTCTGTTGATAAAATGGGTTTTCTTTGGGTTTAAAGCAATTTTTTTTTTTTTTTTTTCTTATTTTTTTTTTTTTACTTTTTTGTCAATAAAAAGGGTTATCCTCTCTTTTTTGGGGGGAAGGGGGGGGGGAGGGGGCAGTGGCAGCTTTATTAATACAAAGGTTAACTGGTTATTGTAGTATTTTTATCCATCTTTTTATCTATCTTTGATAGTCTGTACGATTGTTAATCTCTTGAATCATAAAAGCATTTTTTTTTTTGGTGAATCATAAACCAATGATAAAAACAATAACAACATTAGTAACGAAAATGACAACTATAACCAGAACAACAAAAATAACAAAAAAAAAACAACGATACCAACACCCAACTTAACAATAAAAAAATACCAAAAACATAACAATTACCTAAAAACAAAATCAACACATCAACAATCACCAAACACTTTAAAAAAAAATCCCCAAAATCAAATCAACACCCATTACCACCAAACAAAACAAAACAAAACAAAACAAAACAAACAAAAATCACTTTCTTTTCCTCAACACTTACAAATCCCTACCACTGGGAGGCCTGCAGTTCGAGACAAACCAGGCCACCAGTTTTCTTTTCCCGGTTGCGTGGTTCCTGTACGTCGGATACGCGTGTGGGTCCTCGCGACGAATCACCGTGCCGTATCTGGAATGGAGGAATAAAAAAGATAAGAAAAAGGTAGTTGGAATCAAGGTCTATATAAGTAACACTTAAGGGAATCAAGGGTCTATATAAGTACGGGTCTCGTCACACTTAGCGACTCAAATTCGTCCGTCTCGCGCATGACGTCATCTGGAGGCAGATCCTGTGGGGTTTCGACGCTAATCGTGTGGTCATGAATTTAGTTTTGTAATTCTCATGTTGCAGCTTAGATATGGCATAAAAGAGACGTAAAATAAAGAAAGAAGACATGGCATATTTAAACTCCAAATGTCTTTGACGAATTTATTATAAAACAAATCGTAAAACAATGACAATAATAATTGTAATGATGATAATAATGTGATGTAGAGCCGGAAGGATCTCCCTCGCCCTCCCGTTTTCGCTCGCTTGACTGACCCCAATTTTATTATTATTATCATTACAATTATCATTGTTATTGTTGTATGATTTGTTTTATAATAAATTCGTCAAAAACATTTGGAGTTTAAATATGCCATGTCTTTTTTCTTTATTTTACGTCTCTTTTATGCCATGTCTAAGCTGCAACGTGAGAATTACAAAACTAAATTCACGTAGAATATGTGATATAGGCCTATAAACAATCACTGATAATCATCGCCTATAAAATCTGTCCAATATGCAAATCGTTCAACGTGCCGACATCTAGAATTACTTAAGTATCTGTTCATTTACTGCCGTTTATATAGACCTTGGTTGGAATGGGACGGGGAGAGGGGGTGTCGGTGGGGTTCGATTCTCTGTTTCTTTTTATTGTTTTTTTTCCTTTTTTCTTTCTTTATTTCTTTATCTCTTTGTTTTGTTGTGTCTGGCTGTCGGCTTTCTCTCTGTCTCTAACCCTCTTTCTCTTTCATTCTCTCTCTCTCTACCGACCTATCTATCTGTCTGTCTGTCTGTCTGTCTATTTATCTATCTACTTATCTATCTATCTAATTATATATATACATATATATCCCTCTCTCCATGTCCCGCTCCCTCTTTTTCTCCCTTTCTCCTTTTCTCCCTCTCCACATCTTGTCTACCTCTCTCCGTTTTTCCTTCTCCCTCTATCTCCCATCCCTCCCTCCCTTTCCCCCTCTCCCTCTCCCTCCTCTCTCACCCTTTACCCTTTCCTTCTCCTCCTCCACTCACTCTCTCTTCATAAACGGTTTCCATTTCACACAACTCTAAGGGTGCTTCCACAATAGTGACAAAACATGGTGGGAACATCAAACACCGCTAAACAACGGAATGGGTTAGGGAGACGATCGAGGGTGCTATGGAAGGCTATGATAGAGTAGAGGCGATTGGGTTTGAGATCTCGCATTCCCTTTAAATATAGTGGGCGTAGGTACATGCGTCACCTTCACGGGGCGGCGCCTCTTAAGTGCATTTTGGGCGTGATACATCTATAGTACCAAGAGCGATGTTATCAAGTTTACTTAATATTACCCAATGCAATTTTTTCAGCAAAGTGTTGTATTTTCATACTTTTGCATATGGCTTTTGTTAGGAGAGAGAGAGAGAGAGTGAGAGAGAGAGAGAGAGAGAGAGAGAGAGAGAGAGAGAGAGAGAGAGAGAGAGAGAGACGAGAGAGAGAGAGAGAGAGAGAGAGAGAGAGAGAGAGAGAGAGAGAGAGAGAGAGAGAGAGAGAGACGAGAGAGAGACAGACAGAGACAGAGAGAGAGACCAAGAAGAAAAAAGAGAGAGAACAACAAAGAACGAACACACAAAGACAGAGACAGAGACAAAGAACGCAATTGCTAAAACAAAGAGAGACAAAATTAAATACACGCACACAAAAAATAAAAAAATAAATGAATCACAGCCCAGCCAAGAACTTACGAATTGAGAAAGTCGGAATCCAGTCTATACGTATAGGACCAGTTGAACACGTGTCTGAAATCTGCAATGTAACCCGGGTAGGAAGCCGACTCCCTGACCCACAATACGTAGCGCGTGTGGGGACTCCTGGAAGAGAAGGAGGAGGGTAGGAGGAAGAAGAGAAGGAGGAGGTAGAGGTAGGAGGAAGAAGAGGAGAGTAGGAGGAAAGAAGAGTTAGGAGGACGGAGGAAGAAGAGGTAGAGGTAGGAGGTAAAGGTGGAGGAAGAGGAGAAGAAGAAAAGGAGGAAGGAGGAAGATGAGGAGGTAAAGGTAGGAGGAAGAAGGAGGAGGTAGGAAGGAGGAAGAGGTGGTGGAAAAGAAGGAGGAAGGAGGTGGAAGGGGATGGAAGGAGGGAGAGGAGATAAGGAAGGAAAAGAGGAGGGGAGGAAGGAAGAGGAGATGTACGAATGGGTAGAGGAGGAAGAAGGAAGAAGAGAAGGTGGGGGACGATTGGGAGTAAGAGGAAAACAAAAAGAATCAGGGAGGAAGATGGAGAGAAAGAGAGAGGAAGAAAAGCAGCATAAGGATTAGAAGATGAAGTGAAGAAGAGGGAGAAGGAGGAAGAGAGAAAAGGAAGAAAAATTATTAATAACACAACAAAGAAATAAAATAAATGAATAAAGAAACTGTAAATCTGTAATAACTAACTAATTAAGATAGAAATGGAAATAATAATAGTGATAATGATAACACTGATCATAATACTCAATGATAATCATAATCATAATGATAATACGAACGATAATAATCATGATAATGGAAATAACCATAGCAAAGATGGTAATGATAATGATGGAGATAATTATGATAATAATAATGACAATGATAATAATAATGGTAATAATTATAAAGGTAATTATAATGATGATCATGATGAAAATGATAATGATAACGATAATAATGATATTTATAGTAATGATAAATAATAATAGCAATCATAAAGATAATCATAACAATAATGATAATGATGATAAGAACAATAACAATCATTATTATTATTATTACCATCATAACTATTATTATCATTGTTGCTGTTATCATTATCATAATAGTGATGATGGTAACAATAAAAATAGTAACAAAACAATAATAATGATAATAATAAAAAAAAAATAATAAAAATAACAAAGGCAAAAGCCATAATCATAAGAATAATAATATTAATAACAACACCAGCCTGACTTACAGTAATAACAACAGTAATAAAAAATCATTGCTTCCCTTATCGCAAAGAAAACAAAAGTCTTTTCAATTCACATCCTGCTTATAAATCACACATACACACAGAAAAAAGAACGTATATTTTACGCCATTTTTCACACATTTTCAGTTCCGCGTTCCACTTCACAGCTCCTTATGTATTCTAAGGTTTCGGTTGCACAAACACTTTGGTTTTATGCATTTAAGCGTTTAAACTTAAAGGTTTTATTATAGATTTTGCATTCAAGCGCCTGTGATGGCTCAGCACCCGGAGAGGTACGTCGCCACTGAGCGCCCAGGTACACCTATGTGGACTTCTGCTTGCGGCAATCGTGCATAAGGCATTTAATTATGACATTGCGCATAGATATGAGTTCGTGAATGTTCAAGGAACGTTTTAATACCAATATCAGGAAAAAATTATATCACCGTGATTTATGACGAAATATTTTGTGAAATATATCTAAAAAATGTAAGTTTTGTGTCCTTTTACACACGAAATATGCTTCGATCGAGACTCCCTGGTAATATGTTTTAGTTTACGAGGTAATATGTACGTATATCACATACGAAGCACTAACGTTTAAAAATAGCCTTATAAGTAAGGATTGAAATATTTCCGTTACATTTCGCTCAACGGTCGGTACATCACAGCAGGGGGCAATTTGAATTGATTTGAAATTGGTAGTTACCGTTGTAAAGACCAATTCAATACGAATGTTACCTAAATGTCAGATTTTTGAACTTCGGATGTATAAGCGAGATACAGATTATTTCATGTTGAAGATGATAGGACTCAGTCATACCTGCTCTGAAATAAAAACTATATGGAATTTTGAGCTCGGTTGTATGCGTAGTCTTCGTCTGGCGTTCCGAAAGCTATCGCATCCGTTTCGTGCGTTCCCGATAAAAATGAATATGTTTAGACGTTACCGTAAGTCTTAGGCACCATAAATTGGCAAATATCCCACAACACCTAGGCGTCCGTATGATTTTATGCAGTTCTTAGTAAAGATAATGGGTGCAATGGGACTTTATAATTAGGGTGATTTTGTACTAATGCATTTATTAAACTTTTCAGACGAAAATATCTACTTTTATGAACAACGAACGAAAAAAAAATTACATACCTTTACAGAATAGCGTCCCAATTGAAATTAAAATTCCTATTGACTTGGTAATCATTGCATTGCAAAGCATTTTTTTATTTATTTATTTATTTATTTTTATTATTTTTATTTTTTTATTTTTTATTTATTTATTTATTTTATTTAATATTATTAGATTCAGAAAAAAACAGAGATACGAACTTGACAGGGGCCAAATACAATACGCCATAGCTCCGTTATTTTTTTTTTTATTTTTTTTTTTTCGGTACATCCCAACTCTCGTAATTTTAATGCGATTCAAATGCAGTTTGTTGCTTTCACTAGAGCCTCGGCGTCCGAAGGCCGTGTAATAGCCGATTTTTGAATTTTTGCCTTAATCAAAAAATAATAATATCTTAATGCTGAAAAAAAATCAAAAATAGTTCTCTATGTCAAGCTGTCCCCCCCCAAAAAAAAAAAGGAAATTCAAAAATCGGCTTTTTACATAGCCTTAGGCTAGGGTTGATCTAACACAAGTATATTTGGGGGAATATTCAGTAAAGAACTGTGATAGTTGGGATGTACCGAAGACAAAAAAAAAAAAACGAATTTTTTTCGACTTTTTGGGGGGTGCCCTCCCCTATGGAGGAGCCACTTTAAAATTATATAAAGAAACGAAGCGCAATTCTATACTCTATATCACGCAGAAACTGACACACACACACACACACAATGTGTGTGTGTGTGTGGTGTGTGGTGTGTGGGTGTGTGTGTGTGTGTGTGTGTGTGTGTGTGTGTGTGTGTGTGTGTGTCTGTGTGTGTGTGCAGCATTACACACATAAAAAAAAATAATAAAAAAAAAATAAAGATATGCAACATATCACACATACAAAAAAAAAAATAAAAATAAAAAATAAATAAAAATAAAAAAATCTCACCGTATCCTGGGCAGCGACAGATCCCCGGACCGCGAGTGCCAGAGCACAGCGTCCACCTCCATCAAGGGGAACATCCTCCTGTTGCTCGTTGCAAAACAGGCGTCCACTTTGCAACCCGCCTCCTTGAAGATGTCCCTGCCCTCGCCAAACCCGAAGTGCTTGTCGAGATAGGCCTAAAAAGAGAAGGATTGATACGATAAGTCTAGATTTTAAGAGGAAGGATAGGTCGTTTTAAGATAACGGATAGGTCTAGATTTTAAGAGGAAGGATAGGGTCTAGATTTTAAGAGGAAAGAATAGGTCTAGATTTAGAGGAAGGATAGGTCTAGATTTTAAGAGGAAGGATAGGTCTAGATTTTAAGAGGAAGGATAGGTCTAGATTTTAAGAGGAAGGATAGGTCTAGATTTTAAGAGGAAGGATAGGTCTAGATTTAAGAGAAGGATAGGTCTAGAGAGGAAGGATAGTCTAGATTTCAAGAGGAAGGATAGGTCTTAGATTTTAGAGGAAGGATAGGTCTAGATTTTAAGAGGAGGGATAGTCTAGATTTTTAAGAGGAAGGATGGGTCTAGATGTCTAGATTTTAAGAGAAGGATAGGTCTAGATTTTAAGATTTCTAGGTCTAGATTTTAAGAGTCTGGATTTTAAGAGGAAGGATAGGTCTAGATTTTAAGAGGAAGATAGTCTAGATTTTAAGAGGAAGGATAGGTCTAGATTTTAAGAGGAAAGATAGAGATTAAAGAGGATAGGTCTAGATTTTAAGAGGAAGGATAGGTCTAATTTTTAAGAGGAAGGATAGGTCTAGATTTTAGAGAAGGATAGGTCTAGATTTTAAGAGGAAGGATAAGTCTAGATTTTAAGAGGAGGGATAGGTCTAGATTTTAAGAGGAAAGAAGTTCTAGATTTTAAGAGGAAGGATAGATCTAGATTTTAAAGGGAAGGATAGGTCTAGATTTAAGAGGAAGGATAGGTCTAGATTTTTCTAGAGAGGAAGGATAGGTCTAGATAGGTCTAGATTTTAAGAGGAAGGATAGGTCTAGATTTTAAGAGGAAGGATAGGTCTAGATTTTATAGGTCTAGATTTTAAGAGGAAAGGATAGGTCTAGATTTTAAGAGAAGGATAGGCCTAGATTTAAAGAGGAAGGATAGGTCTAGATTTTAAAGAGGAAGGATAGGCTAGATTTTTAAGAGGAAGATAGGTCTAGATTTTAAGAGGAAGGATAGGTCTAGATTTTTTAGAGAGGATAGGTCTAAATTTAAGAGGAAGGATAGGTCTAGATTCTAGATAAGAGGAAGGATAGGTCTAGATTTTAAGAGGAAGGATAGGTCTAGATTTAAGTCTAGATTTTAAGAGGAAGGATAGGTCTAGATTTTAAGTCTAGATTTTAAGAGGAAGGATAGGTCTAGATTTTAAGAGGAAGGATAGGTCTAGATTTTAAGAGGAAGGATAGGTCTAGATTTTAAGAGGAAGGATAGGTCTAGATTTTAAGAGAAAGGATAGGTCTAGATTTTAAGAGGAGGGATAGGTCTAGATTTTAAGAGGAAGGATAGGTCTAGATTTTAAGAGGAAGGAGATTTTAAGAGGAAGGATAGGTCTAGATTTTAAGAGGAAGGATAGGTCTAGATTTTAAGAGGAAGGATAGGTCTAGATTTTAAGAGGAAGGATAGGTCTAGATTTTAAGAGGAAGGATAGGTCTAGATTTTTAAGAGGAAGGTATAGGTCTAGATTTTAAGAGGAAGGATTCTAGATTTTAAGAGGAAGGATAGGTCTAGATTTAAGAGTAGGTCTAGATTTTAAGAGGGATAGGTCTAGATTTTAAGAGGAAGGATAGGTCTTCTAGATTAAGAGGAAGGAGTAGGGATTTTAAGAGGAAGGATAGTCTAGATTTTTGAGAGGAAGGATAGGTCTCTAGATTTTAAGAAGGAAGGTCTAGATTTTAAGAGGAGGATAGTCTAGATTTTGAGGAAGGAGGAGACGGATTTAAGAGGAGGATAGGTCTAGATTTTAAGAGGAAGGATAGATTTTAAGAGTAGTCTAGATTTTAAGAGGAAGGATAGGTCTAGATTTTAAGAGGAAGTCTAGATTTTAAGAGGAAGGATAGGTCTAGATTTTAAGAGGAAGGATAAGTCTAGATTTTAAGAGGAAGTAAAGCTATGGTCACACTAGTCCTCTCTGTCTTGGGATCCCTAGACGGGGTAGGCTAGATCAGTAGCAACTCGAGGAGGTGTCATTATGTCTGATTAAATTTTGGGAAAAAAAAAGTACATGGGGTTTATTTTGATGACGTCACAAAAGTTACGGATGCTTTGTGAATATGGTCGATCAATTTGGTCTCTTCAATTTTCAAAAAAGGATGGAAAATAATGGTTTTAACGGTTATATTTTCATGAACAATCATCAAAGCAGACCATACACCTCCTCGAGTACAGCATTTTATAAATACCTCGACATCCACCTAACCAATAACCTCTCCTTCAACACACATCGACTTCATCAATAAAGCAAACGGAACACTGGGGTTTCTGAGGAGGAGCCTACACAACTGTACACTTGACATCAAACATGTAGCTTACAACGCACGTGTACGCCCAACACGAGAGTACTGTGCGGCTGTATGGGACCCTTATACTAAGCACAACATTGAGCAGGGTCGATACTAGGGCTGCCAGGTTTATTGAACACAATTACATACGTACACCTGGTATTACATCTCACGTAAAAATAATAATAATAATAATAATAATAATATGGACCTGCTCGAGACACGAAGACAAGCACACAGACTTACAATCATGTACAAAATCATAAACAACCTTATAAACATCAACAAACACGAATACTTACAAGCAGCACACTCACGCAACGCAAGGAACTCACACACCAGTAAATTCGTCACATACCACACTAACACCGACTCTTACAAGCACTAATTCTTCCCACGTACCATACGCGAGTGGAACAGGCTCCCCCAACACATAATTGAAACTAAAACACCCAACACTTTCACAAACAAACTAAAACAAACATTTAACACTACAAACACCTTCACAAACACTGACACTTCCACTTGCACCTTAATCCTTCCCTCACCCCCCCCCCCTAGCAACCAATCACCAATATGCTTGTTATACGCTCATTATGGCCCTATGCATTACTATTGAGATTGAGATTGTGTGTCATTTCTGAATGCAGCGTGACGAATGTGTCTGTCTCTCTGTCATGTCATAAACGAGGTTCTCTTTGTGTTCCTTTCGGTTTGTTTGTGTTCGTCACGGATCGTGTCATGAGTAAAGATGGTTATAGGCCTATGTATTTCGTGTGTGCTATGGTTTCTTTCTTTTGTTTTCAAGCCCTGTTCTTTGTCGTTGTTTTTTTCTTTTTTTCTTTCTTTTTATTTTATTTTATTTTTTCTTTCTCTCTTTTTTCTTTCTTGTTTACTTTGTTTCTCTCTTTCTCTTTTCCTTTCGTTTCTTTTCTTTTCTTTCTTTTCTCTTCTTTCTTTTTTTTCTTCTTTTGTTTTTTGTTTTTTTCCTCGCCCTTTTTTGCCATGAGCGTGTACATATCACAATTTAAATAGAATATACTTCTCTCGCCCACGTATTTTTTATAAAGTATATCCTCAAACTCCATTAATGTACACGCCATGAACGTCTTGGCATGTACACATTTCCTTACCTTCTTGCGATTCCATTAGCGTGTGTACACCAAAAGTGTACATGTCACGAAAGCCACGGTAGTATGTGCACATTTCTTTTCCTTCTTGAATTTTCATTAGCGTGTGTACATCACAAGTGTACATACATCACGAAAGCCTCGGCATGTGCGTATTTCCTGTCCTTTTGGGGTTTCCATTTACGTTTGTACATCATAAGCTAAGTACAAGGTGTGTGTGTGTGTGTCCTCGACCTATATCCTGAGAACCATCGCCTCGGTTTTATTTTATGGGCGGTGAATTAAAGATGAAAGTGGATCGTGCATGCTTCATGTGGATACATTCTCCTGCTTCGGATATCAATTTTCGTGGATGTGTGTTTTAAGCGCTGGGAATGTTTGTTGGTTGTTACTGTTGTTGTTGTTTGTGTGTTTGTTTTGGGGGTCTTGTTATTGTTATGTCTGTTTTTTTTATTTGTTTGTTTTTTTTTTTGCTTTATTGTTGTTAGTGTTTGTTTTTGTTTTGTCTTGTTGTTGCTAATGTGTTTTTATTGTTGTTAATAATGCTTTTGTTTCGTTTTTTGTATTCTTTGGTTTGACAACAAAGATTTTTTATGCTTTATATAATTTCAATTGGAATAGGCTGAAGACAGTATGGATCTTAAAACTAAACCCATTATCGTTAAATTCACAATAGGAATGTGCAATTTATACTGCAAATGAGTTGGTATAATGCTTTGATGATAGTTTATCGCAAAATTTAATATTTGATATATTGTTTCAAGTATCATTACTATCTGTATTTCCAAAATTATTACTGAAAAATCTTACACATCATACTTGCTATTTAATATCTTTAACGCAGTGCCAACATATCAGTGTTAATATTGCAGTATAAAAAGCAATGATACAGGTGGTTAGGTGAGGTGAGGTGGCTGTCTTAAATACTTTATTTACGCTAATGTGTTTTAAGGATATCCTAGTTTCCACCATATCTATAAAATAGAACTTGTAATTATGGTTATTTTTGATATACAGACTCAGTAGAAAAGGCGTGAATGAGAATGCATATCTTCACAATATACAAGAGATGTATTTAACCAGTTTCTGATCTACGCCAGAAATATTTCCTTGTGTATTTCTCTGACAAAGATATTATATGAAACCGTCTAAATACACCTCTCTGTACAGTGAAAATTTCCATTCTCCTTCTTACCTTTTCTACATCTGCCACAGTGAATACGCTTCATAACGTACACAACACCCCACGCTCCCCTAATATAACGTTGAGTGCCTTTTAGTTATAGATAATTATTCTATTACTATGTATTTCTGACAAAGATATTATATGAAACAGTGAAAATTTCCATTCTCCTTCTTACCTTTTCTACATCTGTCACAGTGAATACGCTTCATAACGCACACAACACCCCACGCTCCCCTAATATAACGTTGAGTGCCTTTTAGTTATAGATAATTATTCTATTACTATGTATTTCTGACAAAGATATTATATGAAAATGAAAATTTCCATTCTACCTTTTCTACATCTGTCACAGTGAATGCGGTTCATAACGTACACAACACCCCACGCTCCCCTAATATAACGTTGAGTGCCTCTTAGTCATAGATAATTATGCTATTACGATGACGGTGGTGTATCTTAGGAGGCGGTAACACTAGAACGTCCTGAGGTAACAGTATTGATATGTTTTATATGGGTTGGCGGGTCGATCCCGTTGGCAAACAGAGATAACGGTATTGGAACGAAATAATTAATGACCGGGAGAACACGACGACATATTATGGAAACATTGTTCAGCAGTGTGCATGGCGCGATAGAAACGAACAAGACGAAAGATAGAGAGAGAATTTGAGAAAGAGAGCAAGAATTGGAGAAACAGAGGATGGGAGACACAAAGAGAGAATCGAAGAAGCAGGACAAACAGATGATTAGAGAGACAGACCGACACCCAGAGAAACAGACCGAGAATTAGAGAAAAAAAGCCCGATAATTAGATAAACAGACCAAAAGAAAATAAAACAAACTAGAACATTAGAGAAACGGGCCAAGAGCGAGAGATACAAACGAGGGAATTACAGAAACAAGCCGAAAATTGAAACAAAAACACCAATTGAACACAACCATACACCTACATAGACAACACCCAACGCATTTACAACACAGAACAACTCGCAACACAGGACAACAACCCAAAAAAGGAAGAACAACCCCCCCCCAAAAAAAAAAATAATAAATAATAATAAATAAATAAATAGATAAATAAAATAAATAAAGTTTCCAAACTCACGTCATTCCAGAACAAAATTTTCTTCAGAGGACGCTCCGTTGGGACAAGTTCCTCTGTGTCGGTTGCATGTTCTTCCGAAGCGTCCGTGGATTCTGGTTCTGTCTCGTTCTCACTTGTTTCCCGTTCTTCTGTTCTTGCGAGGACGTGAACGGCTTGCACAGGGGTGTAGGATTCTCTGCGAAGAACAGGGGAATAAATTATCTTGTATTATTATCATTTATTTCGTATGCATTCGTTTGTTTTCATTAATTTCTTATTTGCTGTTTCGATTATTCATTTATTTGTGTATTTATTTTGTTTTCTTTGTATATGTTATTTATTTGTGTGTGGGTTTATACGTGTCAGTGTATGTGTGTTTGTTGGTGTGTATGTACGTCTGTTGTGTGTGTTTGTTGGTGTGTATGTACGTCTGTTTTGTGTGTTTTTGTTTGTGTATGTGTGTATGTGTTTGTTTGTTTGTTTGTTTGTTTGTTTTTGTTTTGTATGTGTGTATTTGTTTTTTGTATGTGAGTATCTGTGTGTACGTGAGTGTGTGTTTTGTTACCCGTCGTGCTTCCGTGTGCGTGCGTGTGGTTGCGTGCTTTCAATGCGTGCGTGCTAACGTATGCGCGTGCTATCTCGCATATGTGTGCTAATGTGATTACTACCTCCATGCCTGTTTGTACGTGCGTGTGCAAATGTGTGTGTACATAATGTTGATCATGTGTACATAAGTTCTCACCGCGTGTCCGTCAAGATCGAGAAATTGAAGAAAAACAGACAAGTGGCAGCTCCGAGGGCGACCAGGCAGACGAAAAACCTCTGTTAAGATGGTCATTTTTGTAGCTTTTATTACTGTTATCACTGTCATCATCATGATTATTATCGTCGTTTTGATATCATTAGGATAATGATATTGATATTTTTATCATTATTATTATTATTTTTAGTATTATTGTATTATTTTTATATTATTTATCATTATTATTACTATCATTTTATCATTATTAATATTATTATCATCATCATTATTATCAAAGCAATAATCAAATAATGATATCAGTTTCATTAGCATTGTTTCCATTGCTATATCTCATTATTATTATCATTACTATAATTATCACTATTATCATTATTATTATTAGTGTTATCATCATCATCAACATCATCATTACCATTATTGTTATCACTT